AATCAGGTTCTCACATGTGTATTTAGATCTAAGCAAAATTGCACACTCAACATGCTTGAGTTTGAATGAGATTACAATTGATATGTTGGTCACAAATGCAATCAAGCTATCAAACTTTCTCAAAACTACATATTTGTAAAAATGCTAAACCTTTGTTCTTATTAAAATGCGAGTATTATTTTTTTAGTATTGAATCACAAGAAAATCCAAGCTGTGATGATGTAATCTAGCCGTCATCAAATAATTTTAATTAATGCGCGTGTATGAAGCAAAATTTTGTCTCAAAACTTTAATCTTGACTCCCATTGATTATTGTAAGATATCAATACAGGATATTACTCAAGTTCCATTACAAGATATTTTTAATCTAATGCATGCATTAGAATAATTTTGACCTCTAGTATTTTCTCTAGTCAAGTTCAAAAGATAGATATGAGTCTAAAAAGCTACATGATGACAAATCACATATATGATTGGTCAACATTTTGTGTTATTTTTTGTTTGTTTTTTATAATTAATAGGAGATCAAGTTGTGAATTGAAAACCATCAAGAATTTTTAAAAAATTATGTGATGGATCAGCCGTTAAACAATGATAGGATGTGATTGAAAGAATGTTTAACAAATGTAGACAAGACATTGAATGAAGATTTGCCATATGAACTTACATCAAATATACGTTGAGAAATTTTTATTACAATTGTGATCGATTAACGCAGATTTTTATATTTGTATGTATAAATCAAGAGTTACAAAACGAGTTCAAATGTAATGAAAAACGTGTTCAAAGAAAAGTAACTATCATGAGATTTTCTTGATTAATTGATGAGTACGTGCTAAGAGTATGATTCAAAATTTTAAAAATAAGGTTCAAGATTTGATTTGCAATATAATGTGTAAGATTGCGCTAATTTAGTCAAGATGTTACTTAGATTTATGATTCAAGAGTCAACACTAATCCTTAATTTACATCCTAAACGTGAACAAAAATTGAAAAGAGCTAGCACTAAACCTAAACTCAAATTTTAAACGTTAACGAAACATTCTCAAACAAACAAGAGCAATAAACTGCATGAGATAGTAAACAATTGATTGAGCTATTGCAATCTGATTAATCATGCATGAGACTTGAAAGCAAAGTTACAAAACTTAAGCACAATGCTCTTAGAAGCTTAAATTAAGTAACTTTGTCATTCAATTTCAAGCATTTTGCACGATGCTCATGTGATAGCTTCAAATTCTATTGAATTTGTGCAATTGAGAAGTCAAAGAATTGTCATCAAGGTAGTAAAGTCTCAAGAATTTCAAGAACAACACAAAAGATATGCAGATGTAACGAAAAGCATGTATTTTGTCTATAGTTATTTGAACGAGAATTGAAAAGAATCAGAACTTATACTAAACCTAAATCCTAAAAATCAACAAGATTTGAAAAAAATTGGCATTAACTCTAAACCTAAATTCTAAATTTCAACAAGAATCGAGAATAACCAACACTAACCCTAAATCTAAATTTTAAACATTAGTAAGAAGAGAATTGAGAAGAGCTAGTGATAATACTAAACTCAACTGCTAAACTGGAACATGGATGGAAAGAGCCAGCACTAACCCTAAACCAAAAATTTTTGAACTTTAGTAAGAATTGGTAATATTAGCTAGCAATAATACTAAACTCAAGTGCTAAATGTCAATGAGAATTGGAAAGGGCAAGCACTAGACTAAATGTCAACAAAACAGCTTGGAAAAAACGACAGCCACAAGATTCATGAGATAATAAAAACATGAGCAAGAATTGGGATGATTCGGTACCAACTTTAAACCTAAATGCTAAATTTCAACAAAAATTGGAAAGAGCGAACACTAAACCCAAACCTTGTCAATCTCGTTTTTTCAAAACTAGAGCCAAAATTCGTACAAGAGGTTTGAGCGTCTACGAAGAAGAAGAAGAATTAGGAAGATTCAGCACTAACCTCAAACCTAACTAAACGTAAACAAAAGTTGAAAATCAGCACTAATTTTAAACATAAACGTTAACGAAACAGTTTTGAAAAAAAAAACAAAACATTTTGCACCGTGTTGTTAGGAGCTTGAGTTTTGCAACTTTCCGGTTAAGGCTCATGCATTTTGCACCATGCTCATGTAGTAGGTTCGAACCCTCTTGAGTTTATGCAATTGCGAGGTCAAAGAGTTGCCATTATGATGAAGAGTCTCCGGAAACTTACAAAGAGACAAAGCGAAATGCACATGGGGCGAGAAACATTTGTTCCATCTACTGTTACTGAGAAGAGCCAGAATTATACAAGAGCATGAGAGGTAGACGCGTCAAACGGTTTGACGCGTCTACGAAGCCCCGTCTTCGAGCGATGAACGCAAGAGATTTTACAGGTGGCAACGCACCATGTGAACCCTACGGATACCTCTCTGTGACGAACGGGCTGAGATTCAAATATCCGCTGGTCGATATCTACCGAGACAAAGAGAAGGCTACGCCAGGATGTAAGGAACGGTTCCACTTTAATAGTAAGTCCAGTCGACTGTGTACCACGACGACCGATACGACAAGCGAACCCATCATCATTTAGCGGTCTCGCCAGTATAGAACTACGCTAACGACCAAAACCTTTGATGGACTATATCTAGAGGGCGACCAAACGCTTGTTTCCCACTTCTGTGGACGGGAAGAGGATAACTTTAGCGAAAGCAGTACTTGAACCACAACCGCAGTCGCAGTGATAAATTAACTGCAAGGTCTCGACCAACTACGTTATCGTCATCCATCGACTACAGTACCTTACGTCCAGCTCGTCCTTATCGAGCGAGCTCGCGATCTTTTCACGACTGCACCGCATCGAGGACATACGGTTGGTGGCTGACCCGGTGAGCCTATCGGAAGGCCGGCCTGAGCGTAGGCGCGCACATGCCCTTCGTGCCGGGGCCGCTTTTCTTAGGCCCATGGTTCGATCGCGCGGGCCAACGAGGTTGGACAGCTGGCACAGCTCAGGTGCGAATGTGCTAACTTGGTGGGCGGAGCCTTGACGCAGTGGGGCCCGCCGCGGTGTCCCTCGCGTGGAGTCCGCAGTTCCTCTCTCCCCAGTCTCCAGCCAGTTCACCTCTACAGCATGCAATATTATAAATCACCGCCACATTGAGCATCCTACCCTTCGTATATCTTATTGTTATTATTAATTAATACCCTGCCATATATTTCCTGGTTTTGTGATTCTGGTGGAGCATCGCACTTTCGCTCGCGTTCATGAAGCCTATTGTTATATATAATCCTCGCGGTGAATCCAATGATTACATCAATCAGGTTCCATGCATTGTATAATCTCTACGTAAACTCTTATGACGGAGCATTTATAGCGAGGAGCAGCGGTTTTGTAGAAAGGAATAATCAGCATTCTAAATCTTCGGCATGTGCTGTACGAGTGACACACTTTCTTCTGCGAGACGATGCTACTTTCTTACCGGCGACTCTCTGGAAGAAGAAGATAAGAGGAGGCACGCCCATTTCATGTCGTCCTACTTGTGGGCAATGGTGGGCAGGATAGCGGCAGGGATTACATTAAGTCAGGCCTCATAAGGACTGGGGATTCCCATAACTAACGAAATTAACTTAAATTGTGGATTCTACTCGTGTTAATTTTGGGATTTGTCAACAAATAGAGATGATACGCACGGTACTACTAGACGCTAATTGACTTGCTCACGTGTGAGTATCGGAAAATATTATGAGAGAGTGATTTCTGTATAAAAACGAAGAATACGTAACATAATATCATTTGTGACAAAAGCAACGTGGTATAATACTACTTGTGGCAAAGGTAAATCTGTGATCATCAACTCTTAATTTATGGATGAAGCAATATTTAATTTTTGTTAATTCTGTGATTTTGTTAACAATTCCTACAATTTAGGAAGCTTGCATTAAGTCATAAGTCCAAGTGGACAAATGTCCACAGTCACTTGTGGCGGGATGCTACCGAATTAGCTCGGGTACAAAGCAAAAGCTAAAGGGGGCCAGGAAAAATGAGCATACCAGATCTACCAAGAAAAGAGAAGAATTAATATCTCTTTTCAAATATTGTTATGTCACCTCAAGTTTCTCCTACCTGCTGATTACGTTGTTGCTCATGACATGAAGTCTAGAAGAAGAGGTCATCGATCAAAACTAGCGACTAATAAGTAGCGATGTAGTGCATACCATTATCATGTATAAATTAGTAGATGTAATGAAATAAGAATAAACCTGTATCTATTAATTATCAAACTTCATCAAAACTATCCATTTTTGTGCTTTCAAATCAGTGATATAAAAACAACTGACAGAAGCCAATCTTCATAGTTATTGATATGAGAAATATATTTTTAAGCAAGCTAACGTGAACTCAGCCGTGAGATGATAAGGAATTCACATGTTATTCTATTTTAAGAGATTATGATAATGACAGAGTATCAAATGACTCTATCTTGAAATTTCTTATGTATAAATCGTGACTAGTATAAAGGAAAAACTAAAAATTTTAATCATTGCTTTTTTACTAAAGAATCTTTGTCCGTCAACGTAGAGTTCATGAGAGACATGATGAATTTTGTACTTCAAAGACATCATTGTTTAGTCTACATTATCAATATACAATATCTTCTTTGTGATAACTTCAATGCATGATATGATGATTTGGAATTATTTTATGGAAGTAAATATATGAAATTTTTATCTAAAAATAAATAAACAGCACCAGGATTTTTTCAAGTGTTTTATAAATTCTGTAGAAAAAAATTCTAATGTAAATTAAAAACTATGGATCCTAATTGCCTATTGCATTTTTTTAATCTCTTGTTGAAGATAATGAAATTCTGATTATTATCTTATATTTTCATAAATCTCATTATCACCAATTAGAAATCAGAATGTAGTTAGATTTAAGGGAAGCAGAGGAATCATCTCAATCCAAGTTTAAACTTCAAATTCACATCAAAATGGCAATGCATTCTCGTAGCTCAGCGATGTCCAAACAACATTCATCAGATCTAATATACAATAGATAATGCCATTGCTCTCTGTGTCCTGAAATCTCCAAATTTTGTGAAATCTTCAACCATATGTTGTCCTCGTTATGAGTGACTCCTCATGATGCTAGTCTTGACCAGGCCAAGTCCGTTCGAAGAAATCGAATCATGTCTCCAAGACTTCTTGTGCGCTGCTTCTTCTTGGGTTGGTACGCTCGACTGTGAACATCAAAAGGGTGACAAAACATTCATCACAATCATTGGGGTTTCTGAGCTGTATGGAGCTGGCAGGCGAAATCAAACCAGTTCCTTGAAGTGGCCGACCCTCATATCCCAGACTTCTTCACAATGATTTCGCTCTCGATAGGCACAGAGCTGTTCAACTAGTAATGAAAACACGAAGCCTCGTTTTGAGGTGCAGGAATTGCTCAAGGGATGACCATGTGAGCTACTCACACCATAAACAGTAGAACCAATCTGTAAGTCGAACAATGCAAATTGCCAGTACGATTGGGAGGTGCGTCGATTGATCGAGGCGATGAACATCTTAAATGTTCTTTGTTGGGGCTTTCTCATGTCGGCTCGCTGATGTCACAAGATGTCGCTCGTGTGGTAATTGACTAGGGTTAGTCACGAGCGCGACTGTGCATAAATTGAAGTTCGTACTGGGTGGGGGTGTTAGATTTGCTCGTTACATGCTTCCCGGTTTTCACCCGTCCAGGGACTATGGCAAGACCTTGTCAGGAGCCAGCCAGATTTGGTGTATGGATTCTCACCCGATCGCTACTCGACTCCAGCTCGAGCATGGTTGTCACGCGCACGTCGGCTCGAACAGAGTACAGTCATGTTCTCCATGGTCCGATTTCTGAAATGATTCTTGTCTCCGGTGTTCCTATTCGATTGTATTTCCTCGTCTGTTGGGTGCATAGATTGCTTTCTCCCCATGCAATTCGGCCGAAATATGGGTCGGAATCGATGATAACCTCTGCCCACAGGAACTTTGACGAGAGAGTGGTAGGGGATTTCAAAGGTTTGAAGCTTTAGCTACTTAGCAATCTAAAACGGTATAAAAGAAAAAATGTTTTCATATGTAGACAAGATAGACAATGACAAGGGAAATATAAACATGTGGACATAAATGTAGCACGTTCAGTTTGCGAAGGGATGGCTAACATTACTGGGAAAACATCCAGAAAGAAATCCTGAACATATTTTTATCATGTATGTGTACATAGGGACACCAATCTGCTAGAAATATTTACTTTCATTATAAAATCTGAGATTGTCATTCATTTCCTTCAAGAGAAGAGGCATGTACGCATGCATCTTTACGAGATCTTTTTAAGCATGCATGCTGTAGCCTCTGTCGTTGAGAGGAAGATAGTATTGATGACTGTCCCTTGTTCTGAAACTCTTGTTTCTACGGGTATTGAAAATCTGCATGGAGGCAGGCAATGGAGTAGGTATCGAATGAGACATGGTGATTATTCAGAGCGATATCAGCTCTCTCCCCGAGAGAAAGCGAACCATTAAATTTCACGGGAAAAGTGCAATGTCCAGCCCGGGTCTATGTGTCTGCATGCGTCCCCTTAATTCTTCTTCTTAATTTGTTAACAGTCATACCCAGGTATCGTTATAATAGTCACTAGTTTAAATTATTTAAATACGTTAATTTATATTTTAAAATAAATTAATATAAATAATTTAGTCTATTCAAAAATATTAATTTCTGTTAATTCATTCTATTAAGAAATTATTTCATTGATTTTAATATAATCTATTAAATAATAAATTTATATTAATTTATTATTATTATTATTATTTTACTCAAACTATTCTCAATACTTGAAAAGTTCTATGAAAAAAATCACGGGAACAGCTAACCATATGTGAGTTAGGGCTAATTATCCTTCACTCTACTCCGGTCTCCTCTCTGATTGGTAGATATAGGGTAATCAGAGTAAGGGGTAGGGTATTCATACTACAAAGAACTACCCATACTAGGGTGACGATTAATTAACACTAAGTGAGATATAAGTAACACGCCCCAAAATTATTATGAAAATGACTCATATCCATATCCTTGTTCACATCACAGAACCCGAACAAACTATGATTTATGGTCCTGGTCAAAGACGCAAGGAGAGAATTTGCAGCTAAAAAAAGCAGGGCCGATAACATCGGATGTATCATAAATGTAACAATGCGTTACTCAAAGCCTCAATGATGAACACGGCTTACCTTTCCTAAATCAGCTTTTATCTGCGCCAGAATCGGGGACTTGCGCTGGCTTACTATCTACGGCACTCGGAGCGTTGGTGTTGACATCATGAGTCCTGTCTGGGAAGAAAAACTTTCCAGCGATTCCAGATGCTCGAGAGGACTAAAAACGACGCATGACGTCGGACCCAACCATCAGTCCACATGTACAGAAGAACTCTTGGAGCCCTTCGCCGAGCAGTGGGTGGCGGATGAAGCCCTGGCCTCCTCTAGGGCCAGGGCTCTTTGTCTCTTTTACGGTTAGCATGCTGCTCATGAGCTGAGGCCAAAATCACCAGCTTTCGCATGAATCGTCGCGCGGAAGTTTTCCTCGAGACACTCAAACGTTTGCTTCGCCTGTCCTGCCTGATTCTTCTGCAGTCCTAGTGCAGGGCAAAGTACTCCGAGATGGTCCTCCCTCAAAGGCATCAACTTGATGATGAGCTTCTCACATTATGATGAGTCGTAGTCTCACATTGTGCTCTTGTCGTGAAAGAATATATCTGTCCAGATGATGTATTCTCGGAGACTCACTGGCTTCATCCCTTGCAGCCACAAGGTGAGGAACGGCGTTGTCATAGACAGGGCAAGGGTTTCTTTCATCATCCGGATCGACGCCAAAATTTGAGATGTCCAAGGGTCGAAATCCAGGCCTCTCGTGCGTCATCGCTCCGATATAAGTCAAGTCAAGTCATGTCAAGTCAAGCAAGGCACGGAGATTATAAACGTAATTTACTTGCTGTACATGGTAATCGAAAAGCAATGAGTTGATGGTCATTGCAGGAGTTTTCGAGATGGCAGATGATCCGAGACGCGCTACCAACATCACTATTCTCACAGGTGTGTTTGGGGTGGGCCTCGTGCTGGACGTGACCACAGGGTACAGGTAGGGCCCGGAGGCAAAGGTCGGGCCGGACTCCGGAGTACAGTCGGTGAGGCGGGGCAATGTCCAGATTTTCTGACGACAGTAGGCGCTACTAGAGAATTCGGAGTGGCAGATGGAGCAGAAGCAGATGTCGGTCCACTGGGGGACGGGTATTCGTGTGTTCGCTGCGGGGCTCTGGGGGCTGATGCAGGCCGATCGAGAGCTGACATACGAATACGAAGGCCCTGGCCTCGTACTTGCGAAGCAAGACGCATGTGATCCCGTGTCATACTTTGCCGCCCCCCGCCATATGAGATAAGCTCCGAACATGCCCCTCGTCAATCCATGAGCACATCATTGCCAGAGAATTCCGATTTCCGAAGATGCCGAGCTCGAGAAGCGAAAAGCGAAAAGCCTGCACCAACGCCAGTTTCGGCCCGTTGCCGCACATCCATCCCACCGCAAACGCCCCCCCCCCCCGGTGGGGCGAGCTCGACATAATCACAACAATCACAATTCGACCGCCGGGTAAATGAAGGCGCCCGAACGTTTCGCGAAAATGTCCCGAAATTTTCTCGAAAGATTGCCAGGGCAGGGCAAGGCAAGGCAAGGCAAGGCGAGGCCCGAGACAAGGCGAGGGTCGAATTGTCGAGTTCTGACGTTTTTGAGGTTCCCGGCCCGTGTATCCGTCGACCGGAAAGGGCGAACGGGGCTCTCTCATCATTTACGGCTGGAGGACTATATTTGGAGCCCGGCATGGTGCGTCGACGAAATTGCGGCAGAGTTTGCGGGGGCTGGCCCGTGCAGACGGATAAATCGGGGGATATCAGATAAGAGGAGAAGTTTGTCGTATTCGCGGAGGGAGCCGGAATCAATCCTTGGAAGAATAGAAGCAAAGAAGACTGAGCCAAAGAAGCCTCTGCGACCTGGGTTTGCCAGGAGCCTCGTGGAAAAGTACCCGCCCGCCACCGGCTGCCGAAGGTCGACCCCCGCTGTCTCGAGCCCAGAGTGCGCGTATCTCCCCCGAAACTCCGTCGAATAACCCCGGCTCTGCCGGTTCCGCCCGTCGGGCAGGACGGCCTGCGCCGGGATCCGCACCCGCCCTCGTGGAGCCAGCCAGAGGCGGAACAGAGTCTGGAGTTGACGAGCGAGCGAGCGTACGTGGCAGAGGGCTGACGGAGGTTGTTGCCGACGTGGCATACTCCTACTGGAGGGGCGCTGTACCGTCAGCCCAGCAGGGTCGAGGACGTGCGCGAGGTCAGACTGCCAGGTCTGCGTCGAGGGGCCGGTCGAGCGTTCGGCGCGCCCCCGTCGTTCGCCCCATCGCTCCGAGAGATCGAGCTACCCGGTACGAGGTACGGTGTCGGGCAATTGCGAGCCTATCCGTCTGTCGATGCCCTCGTCGGCCCGAGGAGAAATCAAGGAGGACGGCAAAGGAGGGCCTTCTCTCATCTGTACGTACGTACACCTTTTAAAAGAAGGGAGGGAAGGGCAGGGCGGGCGAGGGAGGAGGAGGAGGTGGAGGTGGTGGAAGTTCTTGTGATTGGCAGTCGTCGTCTTCGTTGTCGTCGTCGTCGTCTTCGTGGGGACACCCTTTCTCTTACGGTCACGTGCACTCTGTCCAAAATCTCTGTGTCTCTCTCGACTTCTTGGTCCTGAGCTCCAGGTGGTGTCAGGTTTCCACCGGATTTCCTCCCGATTTGTGTCCCTTGGGTGGTTGGGTCAGGGCGGGTCGGGTTGGCTCTGATAATGGCAGTGGTGACATGCTCGGGCGGTGTCGTCGTTGCTCGTACCCGGTCCGGTTGTGAATCTCATACGCCTTATGCCACCCGAGACTGCAGCAGCACCCGACCTTCTTCATCATCCTCGTCTTCGCCTCTGCTTGCTTTCCCTTGAAGCTCCTTGTCGCACCGCACCGCACCCATCTTGATTTCCACCCATCGCTCCGCCTGTCTGTCTGCCCTAGTCTCGTTCGCCTCCGTTGCGGAGTTGATCAGCTGCTGCTGCTGTTGTTGTCCCCCCTGCGGCTACGTTCCTTCATCTGTTGCACCCTCCGTCGCCGCTGTTCTCAGAGAATCTTCTGCTCCGCGCAGTTGTTGTATTATTTCCTTGTGCCGACTGGTGCTTTTGGCATGCGGAGACCCTTTTAGCTGAGCAGTCGGATTTGTCGCGTCACCTGGATGGAACTTTAGCTGCTATGTGATCCAATATCTACATTCCGCTGCTGTTGAATAAGTGGAATTGATCAAATTCCTTGACATGTACACCGGTGGGAGCACAATGTCTCAGGGGCATGGCGCCGTTGTTTCAAATCTCAAAGACATTCTTAACAAACGATTTGCACAGAGTCAAAGCCAGCAGGAAGGGTCGAGCGAGCATCATCGTATCAAAGAAGGCGAGGAACCTGAACGATCGCCAGTGCATCAAGGCAAAAAATTCGTCGTCGAAAGGAAGAAAAGCATGGACAGTAGCCTTCCAGTCGTGCTGATCACTAATGATGATGGTATAAGAGCTCCGGGACTGCAAGCTCTTGTGGCTGCTCTAATTGACGGAGGACGCTGCCAAGTTCACGTCTGCGCGCCCGATTCGTAAGTTTTTACGGCGCCTGACCTGTGCCCGCTTGTGTTATGTCGCACTACACTACATTCTTTCAGTTCTGGTTGAACACGACTGCTCAATTTTGTTGCGTGGTCAGTATTCAGATCCTCCGTCAGTGACGACTATTAGATTCCAAATAATGGCTCGTGTGAAGCTTACGATAAAATTTATATTCTTGCCTTCAATTCACAGCTCAATTTACATTTGTTGTGAAGGGAGAGGTCGGCCTCTGGTCACAGCATTACCACACGAGAGAATATTGTTGCGGAGTCCGTTGATATCGATGGTGCAATTGCCTTTCAAGTTTCAGGTAGGTTCAAAGCAGTGAACGAACATTCAGGCAGCTCAGCATTCTTCGTGGAGAAGCCTTTTTCTCTCGATTGTTTGATGGTTTAAATGTATACATTTCGTCGCAGCATTCTGGGCACATACGGAGAATCTGAGGACTACTTTTCTCATATCGTTTCAGGAAATGAACGGACTAGACATGAATGCCGCGTATCAGCTGGTTTTTTTTTCCTCACTTCTCAAAGCACGAGCCCATGCCGCAGTCCAATGCACAAAGCATTGGACCTTTTCCCCTGTCCGAATCATTATTCTACAGCAATGCTGCTCTTCTTCGCATGTACTTTATAAGTGCTTGACAATACAGTTTCCAGGTTTCATAGAATTTTCTTGTCTACCTTCTGATCTGGAAATTTCTTCTCATTAAACAAATGGGTGATGCCTTTGCTCCACCAAGGACTTTTGCTTCTCTCAATCTGCTAACCTTTGGTAACCGAATTTCTGACATAGAGATCGTTTTTAGAGATTGGTTGCTAAAGGACGTCGTATCTTGTGGTAGATTAGTGGAAAATTCTACAATCGATTGGGTTTCGGCAGCTTTGTTTAGGTTTACCTGAGAATGTCGGTAGATTCTCTTCGGAATCTAGCGTCTGTATAATGACAAAATTCGAACCTGTTCGTTTTAGTGCTCCCATCCGTTGCTTGTAGAACTATGAGAACACAAGGCTTGCTAGTAACTGCTCAGTTTGGCCAAACCTGATTCTCCTCGGTTAGGATGTTCAACTCGTGCTAGAAATGGCTCTTCAAATTGGGTAGTTGGGGTGGTACTTCAACACTTCATTTAAAGTACTCGCTGTTGTAAGGATTAAGTAGAATGTTCTTCAAAACTAGACGGTCCGACCATTTCGCTTAATTGGGCCAATCTCTTTCGCAATCTTGTCTTCAAACAGCAAGCGATAGTGCTCACTATAAGTGGACTTAAAATAGTTTTGAAAATTTCATTGTTTCTTGTCTTGAAGATATTTGCCTAAATCGTTGATTTCACTATGAACTGAGTAGCTGCATCTCCACCTTTTATTGATAGTTATTCTCTCTCTGTTGGCAGGTACACCAGCTGATTGTGTATCTTTGGGCCTATCAGGAACGCTGTTTTCCTGGTCTCGACCAGCCTTGGTATGTACACTTGTCAGTTTGTTGTTCACCGAACTTGTGTTTAGTGTTGCATGGCATGAACATGGTTAGTAAATGGTAGGGCCACCTTCTTTCCGATGTTAGAGCCTATGTATCATCTCGTCTTTTCATATATTTGAATTTGGTTAAGACTACATTTATGCCAGAGTTTTTTTCCCATACCTTTACAAATTCTTGTATCTTGATGGACGCAGGTGGTCAGTGGAATTAACAAAGGTTCCAACTGTGGATTGCACATGTAAGAAGATCGGACTCTTCTTCTTAAGAGTTTCATTCATTTCCTCGTTGTATTGTGGTGTTTTTCCTTTCAGAGAAAGACCTTTTCGTGATATCTCCTTTTGAATGTTGGTTTGCATAGTAACTTCAGCTCAATGATGGCACTATTCGTCCCTGTCTTTGTGGGTCGCATGGGTGATGTTTCATTATGAACAGTCTCATTTCTTCGCCCCTCGATTTGTTTGGACCCTATTGCATCCTCTTATCTGTGTTTTCATTTAGCCATATCGAATTCTGTGTTGTTTAGTTGAAGAAAATCCGGATATCTTGTGCAGTGTATACTCCGGAACAGTTGCTGGTGCTAGAGAGGCATTCATGAGTGGAGTACCGGCTATCGCTCTCTCTTTAAAATGGTAAGCGGAACGGTCAATCCTTTTGGACGTCTTATCTTATCCATTCTCAAATTATGGAAAATGTTATTTGTCTACAAGAAATTTATGAACCGAAGCAAACACTCAAACGTCCTTGTAATTCTTCCTCTTCCAGGGTCCGGGGAGAAAGCAAGGAAGCCGATTACACCGCTGCAGCAGAAGCCTCTTTGCCTCTGATCTATGGAGCATTACGCGATATTGAGCTGGACGTCTACCCCAAAGATTGCTACTTCAACGTCGATATACCCACTCATCCCGCACAAAACAAGGTCTGCATTATCTTGATCTGATTTATAGTCGTCTGGATCTGACTGAGAGCTCTACGCCTTTGAAACTTATATAATAAGGGATCCAAGGGAATAGGATAACATTCTATTGGCCATTCTATTGAAGAAGCTCTTCGAAAACTCTTTTACACAAATTCATGATCAATTACCGAACACGACACCTTTGGTAGTTGTACATGTCACCTTCTGTCACTCGTGGTCTGAGTACAAGCTGCTGGCACCTCGGGACCCTACTGATCGTAATTGTCTGTTGTAAACTTTGGACTGTTCAATCAGGGGTTCAAAGTGACAAGGCCAGGAAATTCTCGCATTGCATGCTCGTGGCGACCTGTCACAAATCAAAGAAGAATAAGCATGGTGAAAGACTCTGGCATCGGCATTCAACTTGCGCAACTCGGTCTTGCAGCTTCTGCAGCCGTAAGTATTACTGACATATCTCAAGAGAACTAAACTTTGGAAGACCATGAATATACCAAGTGCAAGACACCTAAATAGAGTTGTGTGTCATTCTATTTCAGATGGTTACTGGAACTGCGTATATGAGTAGATATTATCTGAGTGATGAAGGAGGTGTAACATTGACAATCGAGAGTACATACATGGTGAATGATGGTCAGCATTCTATTACCTCCCCATATGACGAACCTGGGAATGAGGATCAACACTCCAGCGCTTTTGCCTGCACTTCCGATGAATCAACTTGAACTGGAAACTGATGTGCAGGGAGCAAGGCGTCAAAACTCGATCACACGTAGTGCACCTGTTGAATTCGAGTCAACAGGAGTGGCTCCACCAAATGGAGTGAATGCTGGTGCTGGCTATCAAAAGCTGCATTTTCGGTTCGAGGTTGGCTTCAACATCTTGCTTTTCTTCTCAGTAGTCAAAGTATTGTATTTCATTGTTTTCTAACCGGAGCAATACGTGCAACTGTGCCCTCTTATCTGCAAAACGCGGGAGATGCTGATGGTCCTGTGCATTGTGTTTCATGGGTGCAGTATGCAGAAGATGTTGTGGCAGAACCAGGCTTGGACTTTGACGCCGGAGCTGTGGAAGAAGGCTATGTATGTGGCTTGCTTTTGGCCTCGTTGTTTCTCTATGACAACCAACAAATTGAGTATCATTAGTTGTAATATGCAGGTTGCAAAATTTTGGCATTCAAGTTTGTAATTAAGCTCTCGTTGTTTGCGTGAGCAGATATCTGTGACACCACTGAAAGTGATGACCTCCGTAGAAGATCAAACACAGGAATCTGTCGCTTCCTGGTTATCATCGGCTGTCGCTGTACCTTCGGCGTTGTAAAGGTGTGGAAAGGATTTGTTAGAGTAATTACTGTAAGAAGGATTTTGGTAAAATCTGTTGCAGACTTCGGTTAGTCCATGGTGAAGATACGAATTTTTTCACGAGTAGCAAGGGCGATGACAGACTTGAATTGGTTGACCTAGGATAAATTTTTACACTGGAAGCTGTGGATTTGATTGAGATGGTGCGCGCAAGAAAGAGTACATCATCTCTCTAGGTCATGAAATTAGATGAAAAGTGATGTGTGGTATTAGTGGGTGAAGAAGTGGGTTTTTCCACTTTTAGTTTTCCATGTCTTTAAAATCTGGTCAAGTGGGTGAATCTAGACACCCTCTAGAAACACATTTCAGTTTTTCCTGCCGTCAAGTAGTAGTAGTAGTTCAGTCAGTCACATGTATCATTCCCATGTTTACTTCTTCAATGTAAGATTTCAAGAACTAATTGAAATACATGAAGCATTACACTTCCTCTGGATAGCCAAGGGCGTTGAGTCTACATAATTATAAAGCTATATCTCTAATTTATGTTGCATACGTAGGTTCTCGCTGAATTGTTCAATTTTCGACATCTAGGAGACATCTAGCCTAAGTCAAGCTGTATATCTCACAGTTGGCACAAATCAACCTGTGACTTCTAATTCTCCCGACATTTGGAGATTCTTATGACATTTTTTTGCGAACAGCATTCGAAGAGCTAGGCTGGAAGCAGTTTAAGCGAGAAGTATGGTAATTTGTGGATTATGATCTTAGAGCTAGGGGCTTCTTGTCAGATTATGGACGTGTAGAGGAAAATCTCCTACAAAGCCATTCGCGGATACGAGCAGGAGCCTAAGCATTCACTCGCAGAAGCCAATTCATCGATCTAGCAGTGTACAAACTGTTCATAGGACCGTGTATGTCTGCAGACCCAAGTTGAGCATGGTTATATCAAAAATCTGAAGATGGTCCTTTTGCATTAGGTGTTAAGAGAACATGTGGTTACCTGTTTTACCAAATGCTCTCGAAGTTGTGATTTTTAAACTTTTTGCTCAACCGCGGTACGCTATGGCAGAATTAGAAGGTGATAATAAATCACAAGTTTTTTAAAACATTTTGGAGAATAAATAATTGTCAAATCTGACAAGAATATCAAATTAATTATCAAACACAAATGTTTAGAGAATATAATGTTCAAATGCTCAATGGTACATGATATTCGAGTGATGGAAGGAATTGTTTTCAAATAAATAATAATCAGTATTTCAATTTTATAATGAACGTTAAACTTATAGATGTAAACTCTCATTATTGAGATTTTTATTAAATTTTATAAAATAGATTTTTTATCAGAGCAATTCTCTAAGTTATTAGCAGAAATGATAGCATATTGGCGGCATGAAATTATATACTTTTATGTATTAAAGATGAAGTATATTATGATCTTTCTTGCAATAAATTTTTTTAATGCATTTCTATTTTACTTGATATTTGTAAATAATTAATTATTTGAATTTGAAAGTGAATTCATATAAATAGAATCACATAATCTATATGCCAGAATTTGTTCCATTTTTTTCAACACTATATTTCATACTCTTATAGTTAATTCATAAAATGAATAACCTGTTAATCAAATTAGGAAAATTATTGTAACAAAACATTTGAAGAATAGTTTTAAACTATTTTATCTAATTTTAATAACAATAACTTAAAATTGTGATTCATCTTAGGAGTTAATTTGGATTTTTTGGAAATTCAGGTCAGATTAATCCAAGTTAATGAAATTGAGTTAAATTGTCATTATATAATGTTCGGAATTAACTCCTATCTTCTAACACCATTTAATGAAGCTATTTAAATACATCCAGAAGTTCTGGATGTATTTATTTATTATATGTGTCAACGAAACGAGTTCTGTACCAAAACTCGTTTCGTTGACACATATTAGGGATTTCACTCAATAAAACCTTTATAACCCCCTGGACGTAGCCCGTATTGGCATACCACTTGTGTACGCTCTGAATCTTCCTACGTGTGTGTGACAATGGTGTGAATGCGAGTTTAACGTTTAAGCTTCAATATATAAGAGACCTCTTGTCAACATTTTTTGGTTTATTTTTTCAGTTAATCTCATAGTGTTTCCATTAACGGAGAACACAGGGATGAATCACGTATGTCCAGCACTAAATGTGTGTATGCATTCTTGTATTGACTTGTGTGTGAATGAGTTGAATTACTAATGCATTTTACTGTCCTTGTGATGAAAATCTTGACAGATCATTTACTATAGTTCGAAGATATTTGTGTCTTTATGATCTTAAATTTGCACAGGTATGGTTTTGATTCAAATTAATACGAATACAAGATTATAATAAAAGAAAAGAAGTTCAAATAACGATCATACTTATAAATTTATATTTTAAAAAAATCTCGCAATCTTTTAATTTTTTTAGAATAATATTGGCTTTTGGAAACAATTTAATTACTTAATTAAAAAATATAAAACAAATTAGTATTACTCCTTTCAAAAATATGTAATGAATAACTTGCAATATATTGTGTAAGTTTCTAAGAGATTTGCTTGATAGGACCTCATCAGAATGTAAGTTGCTTGATGGGACCCATCAAGTTTCAATTTACCCGATGGAACCCATCGACGGCACACCGTTTGTGAGTTCTAATACGGATATGTTCTTGTAAAAATGAGTTCTAATATGTGTTTTTGTACGAATATGTTTTAATTGATGTTTTTGCGATGGCTTCCACGACGTGCCACTGGAGTTTTGACAAAACTAGATATGTTCTCGCCCTCAAAATTTCACAACCCGACCAAATTTATCGAAGCTTCTGGACATTAAGGGTTGCACTCGCGTTCAAAAAACAATCTACACAAGCACATTGAATCGGAGAAATTTTTTTTGGATCTGGAAACAGTGATATGAGAGACAGAGCAATGCCAGTGGCAATACACCTTCCAACTCCGGTAATCATGAGTTCTTTCGTCAAACCATCAAATTTCTGCTCCATCATATCTATACCACAGCACCTGATTGACAAAGTGAAGATTTCTGCACACATGAATTGCTGCGAAAAATTCATCCTTGAAACAAGGTGCGTTCTCAAAGAATCGATTTGACGGTTACGTGACATGGACCGTTCGGTGAGGTCCCATCGGGTAAATTGAAACTTGATGGGTCCCATCAAGCAAATATCTCAAGTTTTTAACGACAATGATTTTGTTCCAATTTAGATGTTTTTGGTATGATGAAAAGTATGTCAACTTTATATTTATTTTTTGTTACACTTGTTTAAATACGGATTGCCTAAATATTTCTGAGATATTAAAATACAATTGATATCTTTCATTGATTATTTTTAATATACAAGTAAGTGTCTTCACATAAAATTTTATAGTATAATCATATGAGTTAGATTATCATCACTACATCTGGTCAAACATAAGTAGATCATTCTATGCGTAGGGTAGAAACGTTATTTAGAAAGTGTTGTGTGACATGGACATGCTGACATAAGTTATGTTAGCATATCTGAACATTGTTATGTGAGTTATGTTAACATAACTCACATAACAATGTTCAGATATGAGCCAGTTGCATAATTGATTTGGATCTATTATGATATGTCCAAATCATGTTAGCGGTTTAGAGTTTAAACCCTAAATCCAAACTTATTGAAATATAAACTAGGAATGCATTTTATTTGTGATTTATCATTTTTACTTCTATTAACAATTTCACAATTTGAGATATAATCTGAATTGTAAACGAGTTCAAATTCATTTTTTTTTGTACAAATTATTAGTTTTTTTACCCTGATTAGATTCTCAATCAATGTAACTCATTGAAAAAAATAAAAATTGAATATGACTAAAAAAAAAGATGATGTAGTGATTGGCCTAGACTTAATCTCTTAAACTATATCTAATGAAATATCATTAAAAAATTATTCACAATTCAAAGAAATTGATTGATTGCACAAAACTAACATGACATGATGAGATTGAAATGAATAAATCTCATTAATATTTTTTATCACGGGAATTCAATTTGCCACACATGAGAAAATGATATTTTGATTATTCTGAATTGAACATAATAAATAGCAAAAAAATGATTTGAGTAAAATTATTATTATTAAAATTTATGAACTTTTTATCTTAAAATTGACGTATGAATTCAAAAGATTTTGTTCCTACTGTTACTTCTTTAATTTGCTCAGATTACATTAAAAAAGTACTTGGATAACTATTACAATAAGTTTACAAAACTTTCGATTCATATATAAAATTTGAATCTTGAAGTGGCAAATGTAATTGGAGATGGTGGAATAAAGGTTTTGAAAAGGAGATAGGTTATGATTGAATGCTCTCTTTGTGCTAGCTAAAGCTTTATTTCATGTCATCATCATCTAAGGTGGTTTATGTAACATGTTGATTATATTATCATGCTATAATTCCGTGAAAAAAAATCGAGCAAAAAATAAACAAAAAAAAATTGGAATAATTTAACTCGCAGATTTTAATAATGTTGATCATATAAATAGACGTAACATCCAGACTCGAGCATAATTAGTTACTTTGTAGATTCACTAATTTTGACTATGTTATTGAAATATGGAGTGGAATAGATTTAAACTCTTGGTTGATAGTTATAGGTATAGTCATCAATTATATAAAATATCTTTCATGAAATATGAAACATATTTTATTCAATAAAAAAATCTGTTTCAATGTTTTATTATTGAAACAAAATAAGCTTCAAATCGCTGAAACTTATTTTGACTAATTATATCATTTTGAGACTGTGTTCATATACTTACATTTTTGGTTGCGCTTTCATGATGAGATAGCACGTGAGCGTTTCGAAATGTACTCTAATATTGTCTCGTGAATTCATGGCCAACTTAAATTCACTTTTACATCTTTTCTGCACATAATGGATGTGTGAGCATCATCTTCATTTTTCTTTCTTTCACAATGGTGTCTACTTTAAAAAGATTGCAGTAAGATTTTGAACTATTTAGATATGAAGTTTATTTGTACATGTCACAATATGTACAAGAACGCAGCAAGCTCGTTGGGATTGTAGACAAGTCTAACTATCATGTGGATGAGAGACATCCTACCAGATTGATTAGATGGATTTGGACCGTCCGTCCAAACTTAAGGTCATATGTTTACCCATCTCAATTTCCTTATTTTTCATTATATTAGTTGGTATGACAAGTGTAGAATTCTGATTCTACCACATGATAATTCTTATTAGGTTTGATTGCAACAATCGTATACATTGGAATAAGTTTGGAAGTATAGCTGGGTTTGACATACAAGAGTATGGTTCTTTTTCTAACCTTTCCTTTTTCTAGCTTTAATGAAAATATATTTCACTCTTTGTGTTTTAAACATACCTGCATGCGAATGAAAGTTACATCAGAGGTTTTTGGAATATTAGCCAAATTAGCCATTACATTTTGATTTACTTTCTCATTTTCGATGCATAATCCGATGTATATGCTAATAGATTCGGTATAAATGAACATCATCTTTGGAATTATGGTAATTTGACATTGACACGAACTTTTTTCAAAAGACTATTTCTTTATAATTAAAAAAATTCTTGGTTTACAAACATCAAGAGTATTGTTAACATCTTGCAATGAGGAATAAAATTGGAAGCACCAGTAATAGTTCGAGGCTCAAAAGTAACCTAGTAGCAATCATAGAAGTCCACGGCAACTCGCTACTTATATCACGTTGAAGCGGTATAGTTCACATTCCCAGCAACTTTGTCCACATCATTTCGGTTATCCTATGCTAAGACAGTTCGTGTCAAATTCTCGCTGGCACCATGTAATGTAGTTCTGTTCGTATCTATGTCTATGGATCGAGATCGATTGAAAGGGTAAGATCTCCGGCAGTGTTTTCTGCTAATAAATGTTCCTGTAGAAAGTGGTCAACTTTGCCTTGTTTCAATTGCAGTTTACTGGAACATGTTCCGTTTGCTGACCTTACTTCTTGGCTTTCAGAATTATCAGTTTGGTAGGTTTGGCCACGGTCCGGACCGACGGTTAACCGTCGGGACCGGTTAATCGATCCCAGGTTTCTCCGGACCGGTTAACCGGTCTGGAAAAAAATTTCCTCTGGCAGCAGAATTAGACTAGCGAGGTACCCAATTCGTGATCCAATGTGAAAAAGTTCGCGAGAAATTTTTTTCACGAATTGGTCTGACTCAGCTCGAGTCGCTGAACTCTGAAAGTCCAGCCGTGGGCTCATTTGAGTCGCGGCCCACCTCTTTCCCTCCACCATCGAGAATTTTTTGTTTAAAAAGCCCCTCCCCATCTGCCACGTAGGGTCCGGACCGATGGTTAATCGGTTAACCATCGGGACCGGTTAAAATATCGGTTTTAAAATGACGGTTGACCGATATTTTAACCGTCAACCAATACGTACAAATCCTGGACCCGTTAACATACTGGTTAACCGGTTAATTGGACCGGTTAACCGGTCCAATTATATTCCAGACAGGTCAACCGGACCGTGGCCAAGCCTACAGTTTGGTGCGCCTCCACAATCTACGGTGCGCAGATTGATCGGTCCACTAGTCAAGAGAATACATGTGTACACATGTTGAGATTTTCAGTTTTCACTACACACAACATGCATTTAACTGTATGAGCTAGTTCCTGTTTCAAGTTATTCCAGATAGAATCTCCAGACTTCTTCCTCAGTAGAGCACATTCACTTCGAGCTGGTGTAAGTTTCAATGTAATGAATTCCACCAGTAAGACTGTCCTTAGTAGTCTAGATGGTGGCGTATTCCAGGATATCCTCCCTGCATTCAGACGTGTGCTCGTCTGCATTGAGCAAGTGCCGAAAGAGGACCTCCACAATTTCTCCACTGTGTTTAAAAAGTAAGAGGTTGCGTCAGGGGTGCGGCAGATGGTGAAGTCAGGTTCTACCAGAACCAGTTAGGCCCATGCTCAAGACAATGATTTCTGCTGGACGTAAAAAGTTTGCAGGAAGTTACACGTCCGATGAGTTCTTGTCACCACGAATTTGGCGTGATATATTCGGAGCACGCATACATCGGTGAGAGCCGAGCGTCATCTACATCGTGCTGGTGATCCGCACGCCCACGAACTTGGGCAAGTCGCTGGCACAGCCAGTTTATGGCTCACATTCGATCGTGGGCGATGATTGCCCACGATGCCGTTCAACACAACAAGACATTGCCCTCCGCAATTTGGTCTGCTCGACGTCTTGTTGACAGCTCAAAGCGTACTGTACCCTCCTTCACTCAGAAAGAGTATTGCTGCCATCAGACTCTTGAAGCACGCTGTACTCTCTTCAAGATCATATACAACAGTAAGCAGGTCGGAATTCCCGCGCGGGACTGTCCGAGCTACGGGAGCTTTGGGGAGTTCTCCGTCAGTCCCTTCATAAGTCAGAACTATGGCGGATTCTGGAATTGTGGGGATAGAAGCGCATCTACATGACGCCCAATCCGACTTGCACTCTGTCAAGTCTCTGAAATCTTTGCACACTAGTCTTCACCTTAGGGGTTATCGAGAGAGATAATTCAAAGCAATGAATCCAAAAATGAGCTCATCAAATTTTGACAGTTCCAGACAGACAGGCCTGGAACAAAGATGAGTGGTTTGATGAGAAGTGGACCACACCGCTCGAGCAGGCGGCACAAGGTGCCCCAAAGAGACAGTGACCAGCAGCAATACAAGAGACTGACTCGTACTAGGCACGCAAGTGATCATATATGCACAGTTGAAAACTCTATTGAACAGTGTACTTCACAAGTATTGCATCCGCCTACAAAATTTAGCGTCCATTGTCCCGTGCAGTCCTCCGGTAAGAATCTTACACTCCGCTTTTGGAGCGAGGCCTCGATCAGCATTTCGTTGCTCAGCTGAAGAGTTACCAACAAGCAAGGAGGAATTTTCGAATCGATACTTGCACTGTAGAACACAGGTGGAGCCGTGGAAGGGTCGGATCCCCTCGTTGAGACAAAAGAGGACATCGGAGGTCCATACTTCGCAAAATTAGTATCTTCCTCGACCCCTACCACCACCGCCTCCTCCGCGGAAGCCACCCCGAGGAGGGCCTCTGCCGCCCCCAAACCTTCCTCCAGAACCGCCTCTGCCGCCTCCTGCAAATCTACCTCCTCCTCCTCTACCACCTCGAAATCCTGCAGGTGTTCGCCACGAGGAGTGAGACATTATGCAAGCCAGAGGAGGTTCACAGCTCAACCAAAAAAAAAGTCCTCTACAGAGCTAAGTGTTTGAGGCCACCCCATTGAGTGAACAAGCAGTCATCCAGCTCCCCTGAGTATAAACAGGTCGTTTGCCACGATCTGTTTCTCATAACTTGTAAAGAAATTTAAAGACAAATTGACGTAGGTATGTAACTAAATGTGATTCACAAGCGTGTAGGTCACAACTGAAGTGCATACCTCCAGCACCGCGCCCACCGCGGCCTCCTCCTCTGCCGCCAGCACCAGGGGCGCCCCTGCATTTGCCAACCTAAAGTTGTCAGCGAGCTTGTTCATTTTCATTCAACGGAAGACGGCAGCAAGTTTCTTCTCGTGGACTTATTCATTGAAGGACAGAAAAGACAATTACGGGATACAACGTGAAGATTGAGCTCGTTCCCACACGTACTTGGGTTGAGGAAGAAATCGCTGCAGAGGCAGCAATTTGTTCGGGTCAATGTAGAACTTATCTCCGGCCTTGTAAGACGTGGCAATAATGCCCTCCTGCATTTTCACTGAGAAGTACTGCCACGAACGATGGGTAGGAAAATTAGAATCGCCGCGACATTCAGACTTGTAGAAAATGAATGCTTCAGAACCTGTAATTAGCGCCAAGGACCGAAGAGCACTCGACTCACGGCTTCATTGATGGGACCGAAAATCTCCTCAACTTTCCCAATTTGAGTTTTATTCTCAAGAAAGATGGGAGCGTTGAAGTACGGGATTTTCTCGTGCGTCAGCTTCGTCACGGCCTCTCCCTCGCAGGCATGAGAGAATACAGCTACCTCTGCACATTGTGAACCCCGAATCAACAAACGCACCCTCCATCCATCCTCCCCAGATCAACCGCAAAAGCACAAACCCAAAACCCTCAAGTCAAAATAGCTAAGGCTGTTTCGAGGACTGCAACTACAACAACACGCACCGATGACTTCCTCGGGAGGGCCTTCATCACGGTACCCGCCACCGCCTCGGCCTCCAAAGCCTCCTCTGCCTCCACCACCTCGTCCGCCCCCGCCTCCCCGGAACCCACCACCCCCTCCCCTGGCACCTCCGCCCCTAAAGGGCGCCCTCATCGCTTCTAAGCCTCCTCACTCCCCCGCGGCACAATTCAATTCCTCCCCCGGCACCGAGCGCTGCAGTGGAGTCCTGCGCAATTTCGATTTCGCTTCGACCTGTCCGGACCTTCACCTTCACCACCACCTCCACTCCGACACGAAATCTCGTGGTGAAAAATCTCGGACGAGCGAGTCGAGCTCCCGCAAGCTCGAAGGAATTTGTGTCGTGACTGAGGAGCCAGTGCAGCCATGCAAGCTTGGGATTTAGGGTTTATGGCCACGGGACGGGCTGAGAGGAAGGGCTGCCGATCCAGTGGACAGAAGAGATATCTACCGGTATAGAGAGCGATCCGTCGGGGCTGGTGCTTTGACCTCCCGGCTGACAGGCATGTCCTTGAAACCGGTCCGTAGTTTTGTCCACCGGTATGACGAAGGGACGGAGGAGCAACCGGAAGTGCACAACAGAACATCACAGACGGTAAACACCCCCCATCAACGATCAACGGGTCCACTTCCCCGTCCCTCGGATCGTGTCATCCGGCACCGGAAGAAGACGGAGAAGACAGGAGTCGTCTGAGACAAGTATGAGCTATGCCATCAGAGAGATGTACTATACAAACACGCAGATAAATGTGTTCCCTGTGGCATCTCATGAAAGTGGGGTGTAGATGCATGGAAGGTAAATCCACGGTCAGCAACCATCGTCAAAGGAGCAGACAAGAGATGAGAGGGGCACAGATTACGGGTACTGGAGGCACGGGAATGATTGGGAGCGAAAATCACTCCTTTGAAATTAACGAACTTTCATTTTTCTTTGTTAACTTTTTAATGAAATCTAGTTCAAAAGTGGTGAGTACTCTACTCTACCTGTGCTTTCAATGAGCAGTTTAACAACTTCTTTTCACAAAGAAAATTGTTTGACGAAGCAACGCGTGGTCTCAGATATGGTGGTGGCAGTCCATCTTCTTCTCGGCTCAGGTGCCAAGTACTGACACGTTTTCTCAACTTTAACCATATCCATTCATACTTCAGGTTATTTTAAACTCGTGGGTTTTCAGTTTGTATCACTGGTAGGTCAAATGGTAATCACGTAACCAAGGGAGGAAGCGATGGAAGTACTGATGGAAGTGCATTGGCCTTTGCGGCTGTCATTGTGGAGCAGGGAACGAGCAACTCTTGTGTAATATTTCAATTCCGACAATGGTATCTTAAAGGTTGCGTAATATCCTGCCAAGCTCTTGAGGGAACACAACCTACAGTTATGTACAACTTCAGGAAGATAAATCTGTTCATAAGCGTCGAGACCGTCGAGCTTTGCGAAATATAATTTCATTTTGATTCATATTCGAAGTTTTCCGCGTTTGTGGGGATCAAGACAGGCTGACAGTAGGACGAACGCACGATGCCAAGGGTCCTCGAGCAGAATGTTGTCAAACAACGTGATAAGTCCGGAGAATGTGGAATGAGAGGTGACCGGTGTGTGAATGCACAAGAAGTTGAATCTTGAGGCCCTCTTAGGTCAAATTGGCCAATTGAAGTCAACAGGATCTTCTGGGTCATCATTATCGTGAATCATTGACAATCATCGTGCGTGCGACCTTGCATGACGACTCTCTCACATCCGACACGTGTACTACTTAACTATGGATGTCCTGCAGAACTGCACTTTTATGCAACCACAAAATACACCAGTCTCCACATCTCAAGACATACTTCCAAGAGGTTATCGGCAAAAGAGATTCCACTTCATCCTCCACATGGAACTTGAACTTCTCATCCCCATCCAGTGGAAGCTTTCTTATTTTACCCTTCTGTGATAACTTATCACCTGCAATCTTGCATCGAACCCGACTCTTTGCAACACGAGGGTACGGCAGCAGTTCACCGTTACAATGCTCACTGCACAGATCGAACAATTCACAGGAAGGTACAAGAGCCAACACCGACAAGAAGCATAAAATCACCTTCCTCTCATAACTGTCAAGCTCATTATGTTCTCTACCTTGCAAGAAAAAGTCTGTGAAAGTCCGGCCACTCGCGAGGAAAGTCGGGACTTTATACTCGATTCAAAACAAGTGTCCAGCATGATGAGTACGTCGTAACAAAATATATGCATGCTATGAAGCGAATCGATGCGTAATGCAATTATGCACTTGAGATTTATTCGGAAAAAACACCTGAAAAAAGAATTGCCCAATATCTGCGGTGCCACAGTTTCCACAAATTCCACCTCTAAGGTATAATTTGTGAAAAACTCTTTCCTACATCCTACTTATTGTTGAAGCTAATAGCATCTAACTTTGGCCTTGATTTTATTTCTAAGACTATCTGATAATCAGAAGGTCGGGCTATTACCTTGTAACAACGGTAAACGAAATCAGGTAACATGGCTGCTACAACGACAAGCAACTGGAGGAGCCAGTAGGTCGGTGACGGGCCGAGAGCTTCAATTAATTCTTTGTAGGCTAATGTCGCGTAAGCAGGTGGCAAAGCACCATAAATTAGAAGGAACAGGTACCAGAGAGCTATACTACCCCAAATAGCCAAATGATGCATCCAGGTGAAGTACTGGATAGCAGTGGTTAACTGGATATTAGGTACAAGGATTAAACAAGTGAACAGAGCAGCTCCAAACTCTTGCATAGACGCAACCTCACCGCCAGATCTGAAGGGCGCCAGCCAAAATAGGCCGAGAGGAAAGAAAAATATGACTAGAGATGCGTAAACTGAGTTCAAAAGCCACGAGGTAATCAGCTTTCTGTTGAATAATTCCCTCCTGTGCCCTGCTCTGTAAAGAGCAGGATGCGCCAAACAATCCTCCGCCGAGACATCTTGATCGATCGTGCCCACCACACAGATTGGCAAGGATGTGAAGACAGTGTTGTAGAATGAAGCATACCAGTCGTTGTAGAGAGGTTGGCCGGAGAAAAAAGCAAAGATATTGCAGTAGAAAGCAATCCAACCCATGATGCTTACTTTGTAGAAGAAGTAAAGTATCTGCAACCAACGAATGACGTGGTGTGTGTAATCCTTAGAAACACGTCAGAAACGAACTCGACAGGCACAAAATCAAATAAGTGGTCGTCCTATTGACACCCATCAATGATGTTATGTTTGAGTAGAAAAAGTAGAAATGAGTAACGGATATAGCATGATCTCTTTGCTGTAAAGCTTCACTCCTTAAGCAATCACTGAATTTCAAAAAGAGGGGAAAAATATACCATCAGAGATATCCGTCGATAGCACCAATGACCATGTACCAAAAGCAGCGTTTCCAAGAAACGGAACTGTCCTATAGCATAGTCCGCAGCCATTGCAGCCTGCATAAATCAAATAGGAGATGGTAAATACTACAGCTACTTCACATGGAAAGAGCTCGTGGAAAGAGCTCATGCATACCGTGTTTTAGTAAATGAAGAGTTCAAGACCACTCAAAAGTAAACGGTAAAACCAGAGATGAACTTGAGAATCATTTCACTCAGGAACATTGGAACTTACCTGTGCACCCTCCACGCCAGTAATTCCGATGCCCACATTTGCAGCTTGAATCATGCCGACATCGTTAGCACCATCCCCTATGGCGAGACACAACCTGTTCTCACCCATGCCCTTCCTCACTAACTTCGTCACCTGTGCCTTTTGTCGTGGTGAAACTCTACAGCATAACACTGACGCGCATTGCTTGCAGACCTGGATGAACTGCTCTTGAAGCTTCTCATCTACTAGAACAAGAGCAAGGGAATGCCCATCGATGACAAGGGCGTAAACAATATCCTCGTCAGAGCTTTCTAAGGGTGGCCCCGAGTGATCTCCATTTGCATCTTTGTGAAGTGCAATCTCTTCTGGCAGTAGAAAGACGTCACCATTCTCCGGCTTACGACCAAGACCACTGGTTTTGTACTCTTGCAGTTCTTGTTCACCCATACTACGTCTTCGACTACTACCACTGTGTAGGCTCAAGCTACGACTTAAACCCGTGAGAAACCTCTGAGAGAGGCTTTGAGAAGACTCGCGAGAATGAGCGTTACTGCGACTGCGTCCATCTTTAGAAGTATATCGCCGTTCTGATCCATAATGTGCGTCCTTCACACTCGACATTTCGTCAAACCCTTCCGACAGTTGTCGAGCAACAATATTGGTCAACTCCTGAAATCAACAAGAAGACATCACAACAGTCTATAAGATACATAACTCTCTTCCATATAAAAAGTTCCAAAAGAAAGTCCTTCATAAAGGGAATTCTTAAATATCAAATCGACCGTTACAACGTGATACTAGAATGGAAACGCTAGGTAAGCAGACTATGATTTTGGACCAACCTCATTAATTACGAAGTTTTTTCTCACCTTATTCACCTGCTCGCGAGAAAGAGATTCCTTCTCTGCCCTCTCTTCCACGGCCTGGGCTTCCGATCCTTCCAAGCTAATGATTATCTTTTGCATACCTTTGCGCAAAAGACTGCATAATAGCAAACGAAAAACGGAAAGGTACAGAAGCAATGGGCTTAGACCTTGGCCAAAAGCATTTCTCTCAGAATGTGGCCAACGCATTTTCTTAAAAACTTTCTCGGGCATTTAACAATATTAAACCTGTAATTCATAAAGCAGTTCGACCAATCAAGTACAAAAGCATGGAACGCTATCACAGGCTCCTAAGCAGTTAGTCGATGTCTCTCTAACAGGCAGATGGAAAATGCATCGACGTCACGGACAAAGCCAATCACCTGCAGGCGTAACCAATATTGATGGCCGTCTCCACTTTGTCTCCAGTCAAAACCCATATATTGATACCGGCTTGGGCGAGACGATCTATAGCCTCCGGAACTCCATCTTGTAATTTGTCTTCAACTCCTGTACCACCAATTACTACTAGCTTCCTTTCAATCTGATCTGCAATTTCCTCAATCTGCACCTCTCTCTCCCGCCCAAGTATGCTCCGAGCTTCTGCGTACTTCAACTGCCATGCTTGATATTCTGCTTCGTCTAACTCACGGTATGCAAGAACAAGAGTCCTCAGCCCGACCTCTCCAAATTGGTTCAAATGTTCCACAGTTTTATTCACAAACTCCCTCTTACCAGAGTCCAACCGGCTAAGCATTACAGAATCTGCCCCTTTTGATAAGAGCATCAAACGTCCATCTGGAAAGCGGAGAATGACTGACATTCGTTTCCTAGCACTGCTGAATTCCAAAACATTAAGAAGTTCATAACTGCGATCGACATAATCCCCATTTCCAACATCTTCTCGAACTTGTACAGATGAAGGAGTCCGTTTGTAGAAGCAGAAACCAAACTTTTTGGCTGCGACCACAAGGGCTGCTTCATCTGGCGATTCAGCTCGGTACTGCATGGACTGAATATCTTCAACTTTGCCCTCTGGAATGGCAGTGTGGCAGAGGGCGAGAACTTGAAAGAATAACCGCACTGTCTCCATATTCGGTTCTGCAGTCCAGTTGCCTCCCAACAGACGGGAATCATAGAAGTTGAAGCCTTTCTCTTGGTACGGGTTACTGACGACTTCATCGTCTCCCGCCGCCCCTTCTGCATCTTCGTCAGAGACAACTTGAGCAGCCAGAGCCACGCCTAGATGTTTGGCGGCCCTCTCGACTTCTGTCGTTCCCTTCCCGTAAGACACAGAAGCAATAGAACATCGAAAGAAGTCCATTTGGTTGCAAGTCAAAGTTCCTGTCTTGTCAGAGAGGATGGTGTCCACCTGTCCGAGCTCCTCATTCAAGCCAGCTGACTTAACTTTGGCTGTCTTATCAGTGCTTGCATCATACATGTTCAGATCTTGCATCATGAAAAGAGCTTGGAGCACTCGAACGATCTCCAAAGACACATACAGAGCAATGGGGATGAGATATCCGTAGAGAACTAAGCCAGTTACGGCAGAGACAATGCCCGCAACCACGGCTCGGCTAGGATTGTAGTAGGGATTGCTTGCAGCAGGTTCTAGGTACCACATGTCAGGTCCATCGTGACGAGTTCGATAGCCAAGAACGAGTCCAGTAACGAAGCTCATGACAAAAAGGGTTGCAAACATTGCATATATGATCTGATCCAGAGTACGATCAATGCGACTACGCTTGGATGGAGGTGCGGTTGCATTTTGCATGACTTTGGTGTCATGTCCAGTGTAGATGACGACTCCCCATATCAGCCCAGTGTTCTGTAAGCTGGAATCTCGAAGAAGCAGTTGGGAGGGCCCCAAGGGGAAATTCCGCCCATCTTGGAACTCCATGCGGCCAGTGAATGTATAGAGTGATGCATTTGGACCTTCGCATTTCACATCTGCTCGAAAACCCTTCAAGGCATCCTCCTCATTCAGGTTCCAGGTACTTTCCAGAGCTTGTCGTACCTGCCTATCATTGCACGACAGTTAAAACCACCCCAATGTACATATCACAGAGTTTTATATTCCACAGCTACGTCTACAAATTTTGTGCCAAATATCCGTTCAAGTATCCTTTCTTCGGACAACATGTCACATTAACAGGACGACAACGCAGAACTGGTGACACACAACCATTGGCTTCCAAATGCTGCACTCTCGGTTGACGGACGACAAAACTCGTCGTGAATGCAAACAAGTCAAACCTTCATGCCACAAGTAACTTTGCAAGCAGCACCTCACCTTCAAGTTAGTTTCGCCGTCAAGATTCTTCGTTTCCACATAGCATATGCCGTCAGGTCCACTTGAAGAAAGCAGAAGCAAATCCGCAGGGAAGTAGTCTCCGTCACTGACAGAGACCACATCACCCACTTGCAAATCCCTCCACCGCACCTGTTCTTTCTTCCCCCCATCTAGATAAACCTGCGCTGGCCTAGTGTTGACTATTTTATCACCCCGCGAACGACGCAGGTCCTCCCAAAACTCACGACCAATTCCGAGCGCGAGAACGAATATGAGAGGTAGGACAACACTGACAGCGCCATACGGACTAAACGGTGTCAGAGACAGAGCTGCCATTGCTGTGAAGTACCAATATGCAGCTCTCCGGTACTGCACGAACAGAGATAACGGGAGGAAACTGAACCACGTGTACTTGGTCGTCGACGTCCTATTCTTCTCATATCTGCAAAATCATCGTGACATTTGTTAGAAACGAAGACGAACAAAGCCCAATCCGAGAGCTTCGGGATCTCCCAAGGTGCAGAACTACTGATACACCACGCTTTTTGAGAGCTAAACGGGTTGAAAAAGTCAAATCCATCAGCCCGCGAACAACACTGACGCTTGGACATGCCGCTGCGCTTGGGCTAGATGCAGAATGATCTCTCTTCACCGGGAGCTAATGAGGAAACACATACATGGAGGGTGCAGATGCAAAACATGAGATAGACACTAAATCACGCGGAGGACATAGCCACACCTGTAAACAGCATTGGCGGCACGGTGGTTGCAGTGGATTGTGCGATCGTTTCCTGTAGTTGATCCATCATCACTCACAGCTTTTCCACGACCAAAGAACTTAACCGCTCGTTCTTTGAACGAGCGCATCATCATACACCACTTGGACGATAAGTTTCAACTGAGAATGTGTTCTAATCTATTATTATGTTCAATAGTTCACTAACTTCCTTATACACAACTCGAGGACCAATTCTGCCACAAAATTTCTATCCTCTACTACAATCCGGAGTGGCCTCCTTCTTGACAGTAGGAGATGACTGTAGGGTACAAGGAGCTGATACGTTATCCCGCTTCGACCAACAACAAGCCTTGCGGCCGTCCACCATGATTATGCTTTCGCCTCAGTAACATAACCCCAAAATCCTATTCTATATCCTAGCTACAAATTCTACTGATCATCGCCGAACCCCTGGGCCACGACAAGCCCAGAAATCCAGAAACAAGAGACGAGGCTCAGACCGCAACTAGGTCGGCCTGCTTCGCGTCCGCTCCTGCTGCTACTAACACCTGTAGTCCCACAATTCACCTCTAAAGAAGGCCCTCTCGGGAGGCCGAATGAGCCCCGGGCACGAGTCCCGAAACGATTTCTACGCAGCCTCAGCTCGCACATCTACCTTTCTTCGCATCCACAACTCTGGAATTCCTCCCAAAGAAGAGAAACACGTATCCCAGCACCACTACCGAAGCAAAAACTCCCGAGGGGCGGGACGGCGAGCGAAAGAGCTGAGCGGGCGTGCAGCAGCTCCCACAATTAAAGCTTCCGAGAAGTCAACAGACGAACAAAGTCGAGAAATTCACACACAAGAAGCGGAATCCAGAGGCGCATCTTCCGACCTCGCAATCGATCTGCACGAGGAACAACCAACTGTCAAGGAACTCGCTTCGCGAACCTCCGCCACCACCACCACCACCAGCGGCACCACAACCACAGCCATCATCTACAGACTCCTCAAGACTCCTCAAGCAGCTACAGAGAAAGGCAAGAGCCTTGCGAAAATGGGCCCCGCGCCCGCGCCCGCGCCCTCGCCCGACCCCGACCCCGAGCCAATTCTCGCTCCTTCTTACCCGAAGAGTGCCACCCGCCGACGACAACGAGCGCGACGCGCCCAAATCAAAACGTGCTCTCCTCTCCGGCTCTACGCTCCCGGCGCTTTCAACCTCTTCCACGACGACGATGACGCAAGAAAGAAAGAAGCCCAGCGCGCCTCGTGGCCACGACTCCGCTCCTCTGGGTCGGTCGCCCGCCGGGAGCACCCGGCCCCGCAAGTCCCTCCCTCTCTCTCACTGCCCTAGCCTGCGCTCTATCGTGAGGCCCAGACGACGCACGCATCATCGTCTCATCATGATCGCCCCTCTCGTCCCTTTTTCCGGATCTTAGGCCCTCGCCCCCGCGACGATCCCAGTCCCAAAGTCCCCAAGTCCCGAGCCCCGAGTCCCGAGTCGCCTATTGCCTAGCCTGGCTGGACCGATCAGGGACAGGTCCGTGAGCGTGGGGCGAGTCCTTGGCGTCGCGACCCTGACAGAAGGGGATGTTGTCCCGAGTCAGGACTCGGGAACGAGGTCGAGGTCGCCGGCGGAATGATACGCTCGGTTTTTCTAATCATGCGAACCGGACTCTGGTCGGCTATATTCGAAATCGCCGGTACGGAAGGTTGGACTTTCGGGTGGAGAGGACGGGGCGGGGCGGGACGGGTCGGGTAGGAGGCTGCTCGGAGTGGAGGTACCGGGCTGGGCAGCGGGACCCGGAGCGGGGAGGACGAGCGAAGGCAGACCGCCGAAGGGCAGGCAGGCAGGCAGGCAGGCGCGGGGCTGGCTGAGCTGGACGGCAGAGGCGGCGACAAATTCGCTGCCTGCGTGGACAGGCGATGCTGATTGTTGCTTCTAGATGTTCGCATACGTGGAACCAGAGCGCGGATCGAGCGTCGCGAGGATGAAGGATGGAAAGCGAAAGCCGCGCGAGAGCCAGAACTTGCTCCGGAAGCTTCCGCCCGTCCGAGTCTTGCAGCTGCCTGTTCCGTTTCGGGGCTGCTCCAACTCTCGTGCGTGTTCCGGGTGGGGGTGTTCCTCTAGAAGCAAAATATCTGCGCTGGAGATCTGTTCCGGTCAACTCTCGAAAAGCTGAAGCGGACTCCACTCCGCTCCACTCCCCTGCCTGCTCCCCTCCGTGATACTCGCTGGGGTAGGCACCCGAGGGCACATCTGGGCAGCACCGAGCTCTGCTGACCGACCCTCCCTCCCTCCGTCCCTCTATCCGTCCGTCCGTCTTAACGATCAAATCCCTATTTTTATCGTGACCTCAACGGATCTGTGCTGTTAGTGGTTCGGCCAGCTCGCCAATGATTTTATTTTATTTTTACCCTTTTTAGGCTTAATCTTTCTTCCAACAACAGAGGTTGTCGAACTCGCAACAACAAGAGGACAAAGGTTGACAACGTCGCAGACACTTCTTAAATTGGAGGTGTGGCCCTCGCTCCATTATAGAGTATGACTCTAGCACCAAACTTGCACGCTTTTAGGGCCCGATCCTTTGACCCAGTTCTTCCTGCTACTGTACAGTACTGCACGCACACGTGTACCTGCCGGGCTTAAACAAGGAGCTATTCGAAAGTTTTTACCTATAACTTGACTTCAGTATAAGAAAACTCAATGCGGTCGACTCGCACTCCGCAATTTCAAGAATAGTAATTTTGTCTATTCTTGTCCGAAGTGTAACTGTAATCTCGCACCATCACTGACTTCGGTTTTTCTCGAAAAAGTGACGTACCTTGGCAATACCCATTTTTTAATCTAAACCACTTGATTCACTGAGTTTTTTCTGATCCGATGTAGTTGTCTTCGACTACGGGCGAATTGAACTACTCTGGATTTGGTACATACGTTGTAGGATTTTACTTACGTTTTCACATGACTTTCCTTGCATTAAAAATACATAATAAAAAACAATTTCCCTTCTATTTCTTGATGGGTATTCATAATCAAATAAAATCCTTTGCTGCTATGATATCTTCAATATATCAAAATCACTCGCATTGAACAACAAAACTGTTTATAATTTGCGATATATGTTCCATTTTCCTATTAATTTGTAACCACCGAACAAATTCATGTTGTAAATTATTGTACTTCTAAATTACCAATATATATTTGTAAAACCTTGTTTGAATTTGATTACAATCACATCAATAACAAATAGTTATTGATGTGAGCAAATTTTGTCAAATTAAATATTGCAAAGATTGTTCATAGTTTCAATGATTGTGTAGAAGGAAAATATTATATGTAAATAGAAGCCATGTATATAATTTTATTTTATAAGTTAGACTTTATATATAATTTCCAAAAAATATATTCACTATCAGATTTACTCTTGATACTAAACATTTTTTTAAAACAATAAATATTTACTTTGCATTTGTAAATAATAGAATTATAGTCGAAAAATATAATAATAACCTAACAATAATGTTATAGATGTAATGTGTTCTATCAATTATATATACAATCCTTCATGCAATTTTTAAAAATATCTTCATTCTTGTATTATTAAGTTATAAAAAATATTTAAATCTTTAATGATATCAATCAAAACATTCATGATACAAGTAACAAAGTTGCTTAGACTTGATCAATATTTAAGCTTAAACAAACTATACAAACGAATACAATAGTATAATACTAGATGTAAATCTGTAAAAATCCGTATTTTATTGACATATTTTTCTAATAATATAGTATATTAATTCTTGATTTATTTTTTAATATTTGTTTCATATGTTTTTTAAATTATTATTTTTATTAAAAATGAATGTAAATAACTGAAAAACGACAAATTCAACAAAATAACTTGGAAAATATATTCAAATAAATTATTTATTTATAATGATGAGTATAATAAGAATTGCAAATTATTTTAACAAAAATTGGAAATTTTATATATCAAACAACTTTTATATTATAATTTGTATTTTAAAAAATCCTAATTAAAATTTCATATAATTTAACATCTTATTTTTAAATTATATGGTTTCAATGTTCTTTAAAATAATATCAAAGTAGACAAATATAAAATTCTCCATCTCGAATGTGTTATAGCAGCCAACTACTTGAAAAGTAGTCAAAATTTTGTGATGTAATTCACCACAAACTCTACTAGTTTTATTTTTAGAGAATGCAATGATTTACTTAGATGCAGTTGCATCGGTACATGACTAATACATTTGTCAACTCGGTCTATGACTCTACTGCTATTTAATAACAAGCCATTAGAGGTTGTTGATAAGGCTATAGTGCATTATTCAACATTGCCAAGGAGATAAGATTTCAATCATTTCATTTTTTCTTACACCTTACGCCGGACATTGGTGTGCTGGTTATAGAACCATGTGGAATGATCTGTCGAAGCTCAGTACTTTCGATGACATTCATCAATCCTTCAACTCGAAGAATCCAACTTATATGATATTTTCAAGAATGGAAATGCTCTTCATTGAATTTGGAAAAATCATTCCATGCAACTCGGATGAAAGTTCTTGGAGAATTTGTCTTCCTAAGAATATGTAGTCAAAAAATATAACTTATCACAATAGTCACCAGAGCCCAGTCACCTTATCATTTATTATACCATTGCGGAGCACCAGCTCTGCTCACATTCACTGTAGTGATTGTGTAGATTTGTGTTCACGTTGTGGTTGCAGTGGAGTTCAGGTTTTCATTTTGAATATACTTTTTTTTTCTACAATGCTATCCAAAGCCTTACTTGTGTCTCAGCGAGAAGATATTCTTTTCAAGTTCATCAGCTAATGCATTCCAATTCAGTCGGACAAATATCTAGAAACAAAACCGTCACTCCTAAGACTCGTTCGATTCTTTTCCTGTCAGAAGTCTCATTTGCCTCCTCTTACAACCTCATAGACATAATACCAAGGTAAGGAAAATTATGTGTCTAAGCGTATATATGCAGAAGGAGTTGCAGATATGGGGTGTGTTCAAAAATCAATGTTCTCTAGCAGCTTGTCATCGCCGAGCGAGGACAAGCTGTTAGCCGTGGACTTCCTTCAAGTCTCAGACAAACACAGAGCATTAATTCTAACCAACCTCATGCTGGAAGTGTTGAACTTGATGGCCGATGGGTGGAAACTCAGATTCAAGCAGTGAGAATTTGTACTCCTAAGAATGTATGCTTTGATTCACGGTGTGGTGTGATATTGAATCCGGAAGATTTTGAAAAACTTCATGAATTTGTGAAATTTTGCTTGAATTTCAATAATTTTTAAAATTTAAATCAAAATTTATAATTTTAGTTATATATATAAATTAATGGAAAAAATAATGAAAATTTAAGAATTCAATCAAAATTTCAAAATAAAATTTAAATAATTAATTATCACATGTAAATTCAAAATTTAATACAAAATTTAATAATTTACTATTTTCTATTATGAATAAATTTTAAAATATGAAAAATAAACATTTCAAATTTTTTTCCAATAAAAACTTATTTCAAAAAAGGTTGAATTGTTGAATAAACACCAAGATTTTGCAAGACTCAAGTTGGAATAAGAATCTATATATGTCAAAGATCTGCACTCATCATTTGAATTAACACAAAAAATTGCTCCACCAGCTTGAGAAATATTATTTTTTTACTTTTATCATATAATAATTTTCATTTTTTGATTTAATAAAAAAATGAGTTATCACATGCAAGCAGTACTTGAAAATTCAATTTGGAATATACTTGCACATATTGTGAGATCAAAGAGTAATAGTGGGAATGAGCGAAGGGAATTACAATTAGAACATGGAAAGAAGTAAACAAATTTTACAATTGCGTTTTTTAAAATGTTCTCTAAGATATAGTACTCTCATTGACACTTTATGATTTCATTTTACCATAACATACCTACAATACAATGGAATTTGATTTTGTGACATATTTGTCTAATTTCCTTGGAGAATAATAATAAACAAGTAAAGCAATACAATTATAAATCACAATATTATGGTTTGGAGTCATTGATATTAGGTACAAGTGAGAAATACAATGAGGTTCCACACATCTAAAGTTCGCGACTCTTACGTGTTGTCATCCTACCGCCCGTCTTAATCTACTCATAAATGATAGATATAATTTTTTATATATAGACA